ATTCGTCCACTCGCGTGCGTCGCCTTTATCATGGGCTTTCTACCATGCAAAATCGAATCGTCGAAGTTCGTGTCCTCGAGATCCTATTTCATCTATTCCACGATCGTAATGATCGTCTACATGGTCTTCGTAGTTTACTCCATATACGAGATCAATTTCATCGGTTTGGAGGTGATGGACGTATCCGGCTACATACATTACAACATCATCATGATTCTGGGCCTGTTGTCCTTAATCTTTGCCTATGTCTCGAATCGATCAGCCGTCCGTGTGTTGCAAAGAGTGTCCGAGTTGTCTCGTATATTATCGCCCAGTAATTTCTCCAATTTGGCCAAATGGTTCTACACGAAGAGCATAATTATGATGATTCCTCTGTTGGTCTACATACCGAGACTCGCGAACGTCTCTGTATCCATCAGCTTGTACACGTTCCTCGGAATTCTCGTACTGAACAATCTCTACACGTACAACGTGATGGTGTTGAAAGCCTGTTTCCAGCAGATCAACAAATCGCTGGTCCAAGTGAGGGAAATTTTGATCAACGATCAGCCGCATCTTCTGAGAAGAGTGTATCACACGCAGGAGAATCCTACGTTGTTGATTAAATTGCGAAACCTGAAGAAACAGCACTACGAGATCAGCCAAGTGGTTCAGATACTGAACGACGTGTTCGGCAGGCAAAATTTGACGACCATCACGATCCTGTTCATCAGTGTCACGTATAATTTGTACATTTACTTGGTATTGTACACGGAGAAGGGTAGAATTAAACAATGGTTCTCTTTTATAATTATGTACATCGCTTACCACACGGTGCACCTGATTTTAATCGTTTGGGCAGCTGAAAGCGCCAAGAGCCAACTGCCGAAGATCGGCACGAATATTCACAGGATTCTTATTCACACGTTCGACAAGGAAGTGACGAGCGAGGTAAGGATCGGTCGAATTTCTCATGGAAATATGCGAGTTTTCTCAAATATGCGAGTGAATTTGTTAATCGATTTTTCATTCAGTTGGAGATGTTCTCTCTGCAAGTTTTGCAAACTGATAACACGTTCTCGGCGAGAGGGCTCATAATAGACGCAACCCTTCTGACGAAGGTAAATTAAGGAAGAGTTTGATCGAGAAAGATGTTAACTCTCTGTAACTCTGTGTGACTTGGAAATTACGTATCCATCTTATCTATATTTTATAGTCTCGTTTTATCCGTTCATTTCTATACTATTGCGCTATATTGTTGTGCAAAAATTTAAAAAATTTCAATTGTCACTTTCTTTTGTATTTATTCTTGCTCCTCCCGTGAAAAAGTAAAGAGAAATCAGATTACAGAGAGTTAAGCATCAGCGAAATTCTGCACTATTTACGTCTTTCCCTTTTTCAGGTGTTGTCTAGCATAGCAACATACTTGTTAATATTAATACAAATGTTACTTGTGAAACCTTGTTAAAGAAACCGAAGAAAAATACTCGCGCTGATGGACGAATCGTATTAATGAAAAATGAATTTCCAAGGAGTACATAGTTTCATTCTAATGAACGCACAGTCCCAGTTCTAATCGCGTTGAAAGCATTTTTATCGAATTGCACTTTTCTCCATTTCCGATATCCAAATATCATTATCTCGAGTGTTTCACTTTAAAACCGACAGCTGTCTGTGTAAAACACGAACAAGTCTATCCGCGTTATTCATTCCCAACACGTCTTCTCGCCTCGTGTGAAAATTTCCAATCAATCAAACGACAAAATTTCCAATCAACCACAGTACTTCTCGTTTCTAAAAATTCCATCTACCTTCCAACTTCCGCTCGCGAGTGAACAATGTTCGACGACTCAGCGAGGATCAAGAGGACAAAGAAGTATAGATCATGGAGGCTGTTAAGCGCCACGGACTTCAATTCCCTCGTGTATCCTTGCCTCTTCGTCAGTTGGATCCTCGGATGTTTCCCGTACAAGTTCGAATCGCCGAGATACACGTTCTCCAAAGCAAGATTCGCGTTCTCCACGATTGTGATGATCGTCTACGTGCTCCTGTTGACGATGATGATCGTCAAGACGAATTTCAGGGCCGAGGAGACGGAGAGCCTTCCAGCAGTTATGTACACCAATTTGTTCATATTCCTGGAGGGAGGTATGATCATAGTAACCTACGCGTCCGGTGGTAAACGATTTACGGTACTTCGCAATCTGTCGGAAACAACTTCTGTCTTAACACCGAAGGATTTCAAGGATCTAGCGAAACTCGTTCACACGAAAGACATACTCGTTTTCCTCTACATAATCGTACATATACCGAACTGTTTCAAGTACAACGTAGCTCTGACTGTAGAGAATTTCGCACAAATGTACATCGTTCTGGTGAACTCTAACACGGACATGTTCTACGTGAACTGCGTGTGCACGTTGAAGTCTTGCTTCAAGAAGTTGAACGAGTGTATTCGCGGATTGAACGGTTCCTCCGAGGCGGAGGTGTGGATGCAGAAATCTGTTTATCACAGACAGAGGAATCCTCTGTTGCTGATGAAGCTGAAGGAACTCGAGGAGATCCATCTGGATATCAGCGACGCTGTTGACCTGTTGAACGACACGTTCGTCACGCGACTTGTATTTGTAACCGTTTCGACGTTCGTCATTGTCACCTTTAATCTCTACTTCCACATACTCTTCGCAAATAACTCCGATATATACAACTCGCATTTCTGGTACTGGCAGTTCATGTCACCCGTTACCTTCTACATGGCGAACTTCTCGTGGATAGTCTGGGCCTGTGAAACGGCGACCAGAGAGGCGCAGAAGATTAAAATTACTCTTCACGATGTTTTCGGCGATACGATTGATCCGGTGACGAAACGCGAGGTAATTAACGGAGATCGTTCCGATGATTAATTCGTTTCGTTGGGAGGAATTGTGATTGGGATGAGAGAAGAGGTGTTGCGAGAGTTTTGGGAGGAAATGTTTGTTTTAGTATTCTTGTGATTTTTTTTTTTTGTTCCTTTGTGTTTGAGAAATTTTAAGGGAGGTTTATGTGTTAATGCGAGAGTGTGAGTGTGTAAGTGGTTGAATTATGTTAGAAAGTTTAGAGTAAGTAGTTTATTTGCTTGAATTACAGGTACAGCTATTTTCTTTTCAAGTGTTGCACAGGAATAATATCTTTTCTGCTAAGGCTATCGATATAAACGCGATGCTTCTTTTGAGGGTAAGATGAGTGGCTTGGCGAAAGAGGATGATATTGTAGGTCATCTCGTGAGTTTGATTTTTGTAGCGAAATTAAGATCGATGTTTCAAAGAAACTTTGAAAATTTTGTGAAAAAATGTAATCGACTTTTTGTGAAATAGTTTTTTGTTTCTGTTTGGTAGAGATACGACACTGTCGCTGTAAAGATCATCTCATAAGTTCGTCTCGATTTTTATATGGAAATTTAGATGGAAATTTCGTCTTCTTGTTCAACAAATTTTCACATTTTTCACTAGATTACATCGTAATTATAAAATTTCTTTGGTTTTTCATTAAAATATTCTTCACTGTTAGTCACGAATTAAGGACGAAACAAAATGACAATTTTCTACCACAATCTTTCCCTCGATGTTTCATAAATTTTATGCAAACGGTGTAATTGTCATGTTTAACAAATTTTCACTTTTTTCTTTCAAAATTTCTTTAGTATTTCGTTCAAATATTTTTCACTTTTGGTCAAGAATTAAGGACGAATCGAAATGACAATTTTCTACCATCCTCTTTTCCTCGATATTTCGTCTAATTATCCTCAAGACCGATTCTAATCAGATTTCTTTGCAGGTCGTAGGTGGTGTCGCGGCATATATCATGATTATGTTCCAATTTCTATTGAACACCGTCATATGTGAGATAAAAATGCATAAATAAGAGGGAGATTTCCAGTAATGGAGTGATCTCTTGTCGCGCATGAGTTTCTTATCGATCTTTCGGCGGTCTTGCCAGAGGCAACACAGACTGTCCATGCGCAGACACCTGTAATAGATATTAGACGTATTCAGAGACGGCTATTTATAGATGGTAACGCGTGTGTACAAGTGTGATCAATAAACAGCCAGATTTAAGCGAACAATTGCGTTGTTGCATGACAATCGGTACGATGCTCTCTTCCACTCTCTTCAAAAAGATTACAGGCTAAACAAAGAGTCGAAGAATCCATAAACGACACTAATTGAGTAATACGAGGTTTTCCCATGATTCGATCCTTGAAAAAATGTTATTTCGTGAGAAGAAAATTGACGAATTTTCATACTTGGAGTTTATTCGCAATTTTTTGGAGAAAAGCTGAATTAATGTCGTTCTGAAAGCTCTCTATTCGCTCGATCGAGCATTGTGTGACTTCTCCCCGTTTCTCAGACAGAAACTTTTACTACAGAGACGCTATTTATGAGTCAATTGAGGCGATGAAACGAAATTCGTCAATGATCGTCCCAAATTAGGTAAAAACCCATTTCAAGAACGAAATTCGCCGAATGAGCTAAGAGTCATCCCAAAAAGAAAATTCGCCAAATGAGCTGAAAGCTAGAATGCCACCTCACAATGAAAATTCGCCAAATAGCCTAAAATCTCGTCTCAAAATACAAATTCTCCAAACAACCCAAAATCCCATTTCACAAACGAAATTCTTCAAACGACCTAAAATCCCATCTTAAAAATCAAATTCCAGGGATACCACAAATTCTGAAAAACCCACGAACCTAACAACCAACAGATCGTATCATTACTTCCCAAAACCCAAATTCACATTTCACCAAACTTCTCTCCAAACATCGTCACCAAAAATTCCACACCAATCTCCGCACAAATCTCCGCGTTCATCCGAAGAATCGATCCCCGTCGAAGTCTGGCGAATACAAATTTAGCGCGGGTAATCATCGCGAGGCGATAAATGCGCGTTAGGAATATTAAAATATCACCGATACGCATCGGGGGCTCGGTGATAAGTATACACTCTCGATCTAAATATATCGAAATTTATCGTATACAGCGTGCTCCCGACAACGGGTGCCGTTTTAACAGCGATATCGTCGCTGTACTTTTTTCTTTCTCGGACAAACGGGATCATAGTGAAAGCACGTGGGGAAACACCGGTTCGTTGCGACGCAATTTTTCGTCGCCAAGTCGGCCGTTATCGCTGCAACAGCATTACCCACGGCAAACCGTCGCGATAAAGGATCACATGACCCCTGCAAACTACGGCCACGTCTCGCTCGTTTTCTTGACTCGTCGTCGCGTGGAATAAATTACAGCTATGTACATCGACGCGTTGTTTTTCGTCGTGGCACGAACTCGCGCGTGCACGCGTCGTAAAATATGTATCTTGTTTTCGTGGCTGAAAGGCAGCCTACTGTTATACGAAGAAGAAGGAGGAGGAGGAGGTGGAGGAATTGGACGTAATAGAAATTCAATTTAACCGAGAGAATTTTATTTGCTAGAATAAACGACAAGAAAGACGTAGGTGATCTCCTTCGTGGTGAAATGTCATTCTTATTAGACGGGGTGGAGTCTGGAGTCAATCTATTTCTCACCAAGGTTAATGTCGCGAGCAACAGATAATACGCGGAGGTAGAGCGCACTTTCTGTTAAGTACTATCACGTATCGGCCTGGCATTAATACCATAAAGCGTACCAACGCATTCGTCATGGAAATTCCACGATGTTATTCCGCGATAGAATAATAAGCCTCTATATGGAGGCTGTTTGTCGGACGTGGGCCACCTATGTGTGGTCTCGCTCGACGGATACGTGAAAAAGTATTGGATTCATTGAACGGAGCCTTGGAAGCTTCTTAGCGCTAAATTGGAGATTTGCTTGTGATAAACTGCTCAGCTGCGTCTTCGATGTGAGGCTTTTTTTAATGCGAGGATAATGTTCATTTCAAGTTTCTGCGTTTTATGGTGCCTCGAAATATGAGGGGAAATGGTTATTAAGTAATGGTTTGAAGTGTATATTTTATGTACTATAATGAATTTATATTAATTGATAAATAAAGACTTGTTTGTGATAAGCTGCTCAGCAGTGTCTTCGCTATGAGTTCGTTTTTAATACGAAAGTAACGTTAACACGTTGACTGCCAAGCCTATTTTGAAGAAATCTGTTCTAGACGGCTTTTTTTTCAATTGATTGTATAGAATTGAACAAACACATACTAATTTTTATATTATCACTTTAATTTTAATTGTGTTTTTGCAAAAAAATGCTTTCGAATTATCTCGTGGTCGGGCGTCTCCGAATAGGATGCAACTTCTACCAGCAAACTGCCAACTACGAGATAAATCGTCGTCCACGTGTTAATTTGAATTTTCTGCATTTTATGGTGTCACCTGTAAGAAATGCGAGATTTCGGCGGCGAAGTGATGGCCTGGACTTTGTCACCCTGGAAGAGAAAGCGCGCGGGTACCTGAGGGTACCATAAACTAAGCCCTTTTCCCGGAAAGTCGAACGAGGGGACTCCAACGGTTTTTCGGAGCAACGCAGGATACGACGTGGAGAGGACACTCTTAATACAGTATATTCTCCACAAGTGTCAGACCGCAAGGAAGCTAAACATGACACTCGTAGAGTCAGGGACTACGTTTTCGAGCCTCGCGCCCGCCTTTGTAGTTTGCCGAACGTAGACAAGGACGGCGAATTAAAGATAAGCATGAAACGTGTGTCGAGGCAACTACGCGATCAGTAAAATGTAGGGTCGGCCTACATCCACGTAAAAAAAAAAAAAAAATGTAGGCTCGATTCCACAAGTGTCAGTAAAATGTAGGGTCGATTCCACTAGTGACAGTACAAGTGTTACTGACCCTTTAAAGTTTACCTGTGTTTTTCTGAATTTCGAAAGTTCAGGCAGAATTGTAAATATTCTACTGTCTCGCAACGTAAATTTAAGTAAATTAGGTTGAACTGCACAGAAAAAACAAACGGACGCAGCATAACGTGTAGTTATAATTATTACGACATGTAAATAGAACGATAAATTTAGTGTAAGTATAGAAAACGTTTAATATAATTTATTTCATGGTATTGTAACAAGCAAACGTTGAATAAATTCTTAAGTCGTATTAAAAAAATTATTTAACACAATAATTTCAGCATTATTATGATTATTCTTGATAAATGAACACAGGTCAACTTGATTTTTAATCGTTATAATCTTTAAATACAGTGTGAATAGAGAAACTGTGTAATATAATTCATTTCACGATATTATAACTAATAAACGTTGAATACATTTTTGATTCGTAGGAAAAGAATTATTTAACACGATAATTTTAGCTGTACTATGGCTACTTTTAATCTACGACCACAGGTCAACCTGATTTTTAATCCCTACGAAATTAATTTAACCACGAGTAAGTAACGAGAACGCTAAAACCTATGTTTCCATTGAAGAATATTGTAAAAACGTATAAATTGTTATATGCAATGTTATAACAAATTGTCGGAAGTATAAATTTATAACAAAATTGTGAAAATTGATAAATTATACCGTGTTACGATAACAGAAATCTCCCGCGAAAATCTCCCGCGAAAATTTCCCGCCTGACCTAACCGACGATTTTGCTAATGACTTTGGGGAGAGGGTACCGCAGGTATATAAGGACCCGCTGATGTCCCGCGATCTTATTCACCCTTTTTACTGGGCCCTAGACACTTCGCGGCATATTTTGACCTGAAGGTTCTGAGATGTGAATAGAGTGGTCGGGGGCTACTAACTAGCCTATGTCCACCCTGTACACACTCAGCCTTCTTGTAACACTTGTATACATTAGAATCAATTAGAATTTCAATACAATAGACTGAATAACAATTCATTTGAACTAATACCTATTAGAAATTTTCCTTTTAAAACAAATATAAATCATTTTACCAATTACTGGTACTTGCTAGACATTTAATATCAGACTTTAAATATTCTCCTTTCGGTTCTTTGAAATACAATCAAATAATTTCTTCAATTATCGATACTGACTTGGAATACTCCGCTTCGAATAAAATATTTCGAAATTATGTTGAAGGTTTAGGGAAATAAACATTTGAATTTTAGTCATCGTTCTTCTTCAGACTTGTCGAATAGGATATTGAAATGACTTTGAGAGGTTGCCTTTTCGTTACTTTTCTTCCAGCAATTCAAATTAATTTGAAATTTTTCAGATATTTTCTCTGATATTGAATTTTGTTTACTAATAATTTACCATCCAACGAATTTGCATGATTTGCATGCTGAGTAGTTAGTTGATTTATTATTGTATATTGTGAGCTGATTTGGAACGAGTGCACTATGCCCACCCTAAATTAAACCGTCTCAGTAGTTTACCGTAATTAATAATCTATTTTCGGAATTTATACGAGAATTTTTGAATTTTAGTAAATACTAGAGTCAGTGCATCGCGTATTGAAATAATAGCTTCATCCCTAGTTCGTTTATTATTGAATATTTTTACGCGTTTAACTTATGCTTCTCCCCAATTCTCGTCGCGTATTTTATTCAAATTTTCTTATACTCTAGAATCGAGAAAGATATGAATTCGCGTTTTTTCTTTTGATTCTTTCAATGTTTCACTCGCGTTCTACGAAAGTTTAGTTCAATAATAATATTGAAAATAATATAAATTCGCGGTTTCTCCCTTTCTGAATAAAACTGAAATAAATCGCGTTTCGAAGTACTTTTCGCGTCGCCCATTCCACAGTGACTCACACTTTGTGAATCTTGCAAAATCAATCGGAACTGGGAGGAAGGAAGGAAGGAAGGAGAAAATGCAGTCAAATCCACGTTGCAGAGCTCAGCTGTTTAATCAGCGAACAGTGAGTTACAAAAATGGGTTTTTTTCCTGGTGATTTGGTTTAGTAGTTAGTTGTGTTGTGTATTGCCAGCTCAAATATGAGCTGGCTCCCCCAAATTAAACCGTCTCAGTAGTGTTTCGCAATTAAAAATCGGTTTTCGGAATATATACGAGAATTTTGGCCGCCTGACAGCAACCTGTAAATCTGGCGTGACAGTGAACGTGTTAATAAGTAAATGTTGTTCAAATTATGTCGTGTTTGATGTCATTTTCATCAGAAAAATCTCATAAATATGTTAAGAAAAATTTCCGGATAAAAAAACGTAAAATTAAAAAAGTTGATACTTAAATTGGTTGGTTGCCTCGACTCACGTTTCATCCTTATCTTTTATTCGCTGTCCTTGTCTACATTCGGCAAACTACAAAGGCGGGCGCGAGGCTCGAAAACGTAGTCCCTGACTCTACGAGTGTCTGGTTTAGCTTCCTTGTGGTCTGACACTTGTGGAGAATACACTGTACTAACCACGCTCAGTTCTATAGGAACCGTATAAGCCATCGAGAGCTTTCTGCAATGGGTTACAGTATAGGGTTACAGAGGCACCGAAATATCTCGATTCATTAAATCAATCGTTCGGTAGGTTGAATGGCAACATTCGACTCTCTTTACGTTTATTAGTAGCACCTGGAAGCTTTTCGCATCTGGTTGTTTTTCTACGTTGACAGTGTTCCTTACGATTGTTTGCTTTGTTGGATCATGTTGAACGCGGAGTACGAAGTTTTTATTACCTGAAACAGGTGATACCTCAGAATGTTGAATTTTCTGTAAAGAGGAATCGTTTTGGTTTATTTGGTATACAGACTGCCATGAAGGATTCGAGATTCACAGAGACAACGTGAATACTGGTGAACTCTATTGGCCTCACTGCACGTCTCATCATGATTAAAAGTGCTCTGGTGACGTTGTTGTTCAAAGACGTCCAGTCGCTGTGAAATATCATGTATGGAAGTTGGAGGCTCTACGAGGGAAAGTATTCGATCAAATGGAGAAAATTTGTCGGATGATTTTTGTATTTTTCTTATCGTGACAATGATCAACCTTATCTTTCACTTCGTTGCCGTACCAGCAATAGTAAAATATCTGCGTGATAGTGCAGAAAGAGTAGAGTATGATTTCGACGAATTTCGTGTCCATTTTGATCTGTGTCATTCGGTAAAGATTGAAGCAGATCACCGACATGCTTATGCAGAATTGAGAAATCAGTATCAGTTTGAATTCTTCGTTCACCTTTTTCGAAAATCTGCAAGTTTGCAAGCAACATAGTGAATTTTCCACGAAAGGGTTGTCTCGCTTTCTTTCTGTCTTTAATTCCTTACTTTACAATTTTCTTTTCAAAATTTGGAAATTTTTCGAATATTGGAATATTGTACTTTGCAATAATATAAAATAAATATAAAATTAAATTGCATTCTGCAATTCACAATCTTTTTATCGTTGAAAATACGGTTACCAAAAAAAAACAAAATTGTCAAATGTGACTCAGAAATTATTCTTTACTTTTCGCGTCATAATTTGCATCACGAATGTAACTAATTTGAAATATCACAAGGCAAACGAAAACTTACTGGTATATACGATCGTGATGTTGAGCACATTGCTTCACAGAGTCATCCTGCTCAGTTTTAACGTTCCTTAGACGATGTTCTAGTATCTCGAACTGGCAGTAGATATTAATCAACAAGCCAGTGTATAGAGAATCCACAGTGACGCTCGAAGTGCAACATATCGTCGCGGCTATAGCTTGATGGACGAAGGTAAGGATAAAAATGGGCGCAGGGGAGTAATCGTAGGGTATCCATGCTCGAAACATCAGTTTTCTATTACTAAAATCTATCAAAAGCGATCTCACGTATATAAAGAACGTAGAAATTAATAGTAAACTCCAGTAGCCAATCGTGTTCCATCTAAAAAACCAGAGACTAACATCACTCAATCTTAACTTTGAAAGTACGTAAAATTTGTCAATTCTTTACAAGAAATTATACTATTCCTACATGATACTCAAACTTACTCGGTGATCTTCTCGAATTTCGCTCTAATCTCGTTCTCTTCCGTGTCCACAGGTGAAAACGGCTTGTTCTGAAGCGTATCGATCAGAAATATAAAGTTTCCACGTCGTATGAGTAGGATGGAAAGCTTGAACCACGTGAGAAACACCACAGCGGTGACAGAAAAATTGTCACTGAAGTCATCCTGGCTCTCCACGTTGATCGCTACGTCTAATATTTGCGAGAGGACGAGGCTGCTTAGAAGAAGAAAGGAGAACACCCCGTAGATATTGTACAAAGACCTTTCGAACGGTGTTGTCCACGAATGGGGCAGATAACAGCCGGAAATTTTGAGCAAAAGTGACGTAGACTTCAGTACGCTCATGTTTCATAGAGTAATTATAAAGTTTTGAAAGGAACGTTGCTGTACCAGCATCGGGGAAACTTCTTTTCATAAAAACACGAGTGTCTTTATATTTGTACTGTCACTTTCACTCCCACGAAATTGGAGATATCATTAATAATCTCGACGATATCGATTTACATCGCGCTGCCTCGAATCGGCTTATTTTTTTCACCGGAACATACCCTTTGTATGGCGGCGGCAACCGTGTCATTATAGTAATAGTCAATAATAGACGCGTAATTACATTTTCAAGAATAAAAATTCAACCCTTCCAGCTCATGATTCTATCATAATTCTGTGTACATTGTTCTCTAAGCTGTGGCAATGCGTGACAAACAGCGGAAGTGATGAGAAGAATACACACGTCCATTGGAACGAACATATAATACTTTTTCTTCCTCTCTTTCGAGGGAAATAGTTTGGTTAAAAGTGACGTGCAATCTTATCTACTCGATCGGCAGATTTTTCTAATACAAAAATTCGTTGGAGCGCGAAAAAGTTGTGGTTCGGGGATACGTACGTTCGCGACGCGTCATTATTTTTGTTAATGATGCAACGGCGTGATTCGCTTCTTCTTTAAACACAGCCAGGATATATTAACTTGATTTAGCTACGTTGAAATATGAATCAGACGAAATATTACCACTTGCGAGCGATATCATCTTTATTCTCGTTTCAAGTAAAATAGAGCGAAGGATGAGCAAAAGGAGACGCGGTAGTTTGAAGTGTAGTGCTGCCAGTAGTAGAATATACGTGGTTTTGTTTCAGCTTATGTAAACCTGGCCTATTTTCTCCTGGCATTAATCCGCACGTTAATTTCTTCCACCCAGAAGCACGCCGGCCACGGTGGTGAACGCTTGGCCAACCGTTCCTTAGCCTTCGCCGCGTTGGAGAACGTTGTACGCCGAGTAAGAAGTTTTCAGCAACTAAGGTCAAGACAATATTTCAAATTGGTTTACCACGATCAATTGGAAAACGCTTTAAATTCGAAGGAAGAGGAAAGAAATTGACGTATCTTAAAAGGAAAATATTAGTTTTTTGATATTTATCAATACTGACAGCGACGAACGAATCGAGATTCACGGAGAGCACACGAACGCTGATGATTTCAATTGGCGACGACGCACGCATCATCATAGTTAGTATATTTCGTTTTGTAGCTTTATCGAACGGTGTCCAGTCGAGGTGAAAAATCATATTAGAAATCTCGAGGCTCTAAACAAGATAACAAAGTGTTAACAAATTATGCAGGATTTAGCAAATATGAACAATGTCGAAAATAAGAAACCTTCAGCTTAACTTCGAATTTATCCTCCTATTCCAATTTAACAATATATTTTTCTTACAGAACTTCGATACTACGATTTTAAATATGAAAATAAAATATATATAATAAAGATATCCTAACAATTTATCCTCCTATTGCAATTTAATAATATACTTTTCTTACAGAGCTTCATTGTATGTTTGAAAAATGTACCTTTTTATCGCATGTTAGCTTTAATTAATTCTAAGATCGAAAACTGTACCGAGTATGAAGTGAGCGTGAACGAGTGTCTTAACTTTAAGTAGTTCGTAAGATAAAATAAGTTAGCATAAGACAATAGAAAATATTCTATTCATCCGCCGATGGACGTCGTGGGACGCGTGCGTTTTACCTTTAAGTAATCGTATAAAACTATTCTAAGATATTCTAAGGATTCTAAGATAGAAAAATTGTACTGAATACCATGTGCGCGCTCTCTTACAGAGATACGCGACTCATTCGTAGCATAATTAATACAATACCATCTACATTTTCAACATCTTATTAAGGAAGAGTACGAAATTTTTAGAGTTTAAATGTTGCATTGGGAATGAGAAAATGATTAGAGTTGCGATTTAAAGTGAAATACAAGACACTCTTTTTGATAAAAGTATCTATTTCCTTTGCTACGAATGAGAATCGCGTATCTCTGAAGATAGAGAGCTGCCAGTAGGGCATGTGTTTTTGTCGGGTCCCTTGCGTAGTCACCTCCTCGTGGTGGGACCTGGTAATTGGTATCCTTTTCCAAAGAAAATTCTCACTTTTGCAAAAGGATACCAAGCTAAGAACTACGCGTACCCGTCGACACTCTGATTCTCACACACAGTTGAAAGTTTGAACTTTAAGTAGTTCGTAAGATAAAGTAAGTTAATTCTAAGATAGAAAATTGAACACTATGTGCGCGTTTCTTAATAAAATACCTTGAAAAATTATTCAGATTCTATGGTAGATATGAAAGTTCCATTTAACATGAAATTTTAACATCGATCTGTCAATAGCAAATTAGCAATCAATTGCCTACGAAACACAAAGAAGAATTTCTTCAATTTTCTGACATAAAATTTCACAAGAAGTAGCAGTAAAGGAAGATTAAATAAGAAATGCAATTCTGTGACAAATTTTTCCCAAACAGTGTTTTTAATATGTTACACAATAAAAAGTTACATTACGTGGTAAGATACTGTATCTCATTTTATATATTTTACTTTTCAAACATTTGTATCAGACTTTTCTGCGATTTTTCAATTGCATTACGCATTACTGCAATAATTTCTATCGTTACATTTAATGTATAGCCGTCGAGCGAGACGGACACCCCAGTACCATAGCAGCCGCTTATAGTTATAATATAATACATTTCGGTTAATAGCCTATCCTGTGTTACATTTATTTAAGTTGTGCCAACACATCAAAATTTAAGGAAACGTTTATTAAATCATTATTTAGGATATGTATTTTACGTACTATAATGAGTTTATATAAAAATGATGGGAAGTGTAAAGGTTAATTATATACGAAAAGTGTGTTCATTTTTCAACCGAAGCTAACTATGTATAGGGCACACAAACAATTCCTCCTGACTCTTCAAATTTACTATTCCATCCTACGTTCACTTGGACAACAAGTAAAGAGAACAAAGGAGCAAAGAAACAGTCTTCTCTCGATTCATCATCGATTGGAACGTGCTTCCGGCACGCTCGATCGCCTTTCTATAATAGCGACGGGAGACAATGTACGAAGCTAGTTAAACGCTTTCACCCATCGATAATATTTTTCGTTAAACTTCCAACTTACTTTTCCCAATCTATCTATGCCAAAACGTGCTTACTAAAGTGTCGTATCGGTTGCACTACTTCGATCAGGATAATACGCCAAAATGTTTCAATAATCTTTTATTAAATGTTCCAATAATAGTGTTTTTATTAAATTTCTAACTTCATTTTTCAAATTTATCAATTTCAAAATATGTTTGCAAAGGTACCATATTAGTTATACTACTTTGATCACAATAATGCGGTAAAACATTCTAATATTTTTTAACAAGTGTTCCAATAATGGTATTTTTATCAAATTTCTAAGTTATCTTCTCAAATGTATAAATTTCAAAGTATGTTTAAAAGGTGTCATATCAGTTACACTATTTTGATAAGAATAACGTGGCAAAATACTTCAACATTCTTTATCAAATTTCTAATATATCATAAATTCCAATAATAATATCTTTATCAAATTCCTTACTCTCTTTTTCACACCTATCAATTTCAAAACATGTTTACAAAATTATCATATCAATTACACTACTTTTATCGCAGTAATACGCCAATATTTCACATACTGCAGCAATAACACTTTTATCAAACTTCTAACTCACTTTTTACAAAGTGTCAATTCCAAGACAAGGTTAAAAAATCGTACCAATTGCACCACTTTTCCAATAAATTATTTAAAATAAAAGCTCTCACGCAATACAGCTTCAAAACTAATTAAAATTTTTGCACCACACGAAAAAGCAATCTTCTCCAACCTAAACACATTTACAAAATCATACCAATTACACTACTTTTCCAATAAATTATTTCAAATAAAAACTCTCACAAAACTGGTTAACATTTTTGCACGACACATCGGATCAATTTTATCCAACAAAAACACATTTACAGAATTATACCAATTACACTACTCTTCCAATAAATTAATTAAAAAAAAACATTTTCGGACAATACACCTTCAAAAGTGATTAAAATTCTTCACCACACTTTTCTCCACCCTATTAATACCGAGCCGACATCCGCAAAGTTCGTGTCATTTAAACACCTCCGCCTGCTTCTTCGAGAAAAGGTCAGAAAAACGCATCGTTATCGAAGGGGTGTCGTTCGACCCCCGGATAAAATTAATCGTATCCCCGTCAAACCCATTCAGCGATTTAAATTTTAAACGGCAGAGCTCCGCTTCTTTTGTCTAATT